CGTCAGTTACAGCGAACAGTTCCAGGTGTACTGGCCCTACACTCCGGCCGGCTGCAACATGGGCACACGCGCGCACTCAGACGGCCACAGCCGTCCATGTCACTATCCAACAATGGAACACATCGCTTAGACAAAATACACTTTAACCTGATTCTCGAACCCGTAGAAACATCCAAAACCACTGTACTATTCTACCTATTGGGCATAATTTAATACCATCAACACACGGCCTGGCCTCGCCAATGGCCGATGACGCCCGAGACTGAGACTCTGGGTTCTGCGTACAACAAAGCCCCTCATTCTTATCCATGCGCACTACTACTACCAGGAAAATAACCCGCTGATTTTGGTGAGCCGAATGCATCCAGTACTTGGACGCCACAAGGTCTCCGACTGTGGAAACAAAGAACAGCTAGATGATCGGTCAGAACCATGACCCGTAAAATGCGCCCTACTCACCTGCCAAATGAGATAGCTCGGCATGTATCGTACTGGTTCAAAGATAAACTTGTCCTAGTTGCCATTTCCCCTAAACTGGCCGGCGAAGATGCAGAGGAAACCAAATGAATACGTGGGCAATCGCGGTGAAAAGTGCTAATTTGTGATGGAGCTGAGACCTCAAATAACTTACGTCTGGGCATGAATCCACAGCCATTCGACTTTGGTAAAGGCGGATCATCCAAAATCCTGTGAACTTGCAAAATGAAGTAGTTCAACTCAGATGTGATGAATGTGATGGTCATGATCTCCGCCAGGCAGGCGGATGTCTCCAGTGAGGAGTGACCTGGAATCAATATTAACTATCGAAATGGTGGTCGGATGTTCAACACTCAACATATGCAGATCGAAACCGAGGTGTTTGATGCCAGTGTCCACAACACCTTATTCGCAGGCAACCGCGCGTTGAACAGCGGAGAATACAGTGATTACATGGCAACCGGCACCAACTTATAACGGCTGTGAACGCATCGAAAGTAGACTGACCTCAGTGGAGAAATCCGCGTACCGGGGGAACACCCTTTTTAAGAAACATAAGACTCGAAGACGCACTGCTGATCGGAGCCCAAAAGATAGTCCGACAATTAGCGAGGTCCTGTCTAAATTCGTTTGGGCATCTTCCTCAGCGCAACACTGCGAACGCACAGTGCTACTATCCTGATTGTGTTCTCGGAGGTGTAGATTGAGCACAAAAGCCATGCTACGAAGTTAAACTACTTCCACCTCAGCTGCCTGCGGAGGATGCCGACGGTGGAGTAGAAGAGAGGGATGGTAAACGCGGAGGTCCTGGGAGGGAAAAGCGTGTTCAGCATTCATGCAGATGCAGCAGAGGTAGTGCGGTCGCGTCGTGCGGATGGGCACTTGCCAAGACAGAAGTCATACGGCGACGTCGCTACGAGTGTCTCCGAAACGGAGGACAAAAGGGGAGATACAACGATTTTGAACACCACTCCTAAGCACTTGCAAACCAATCCTGAGACCCGGAAAAGTTCTGAAGCGAATTGACAGGTGTGACGTATCGCTTTAAAAACTGGCGCACGCATTTCGGGGGGCCAAACAAATAGCACAAGCCAGGGCGATGGGAAAGGCCTTCAAGACTGAGGCACCCAACCCTTTAAGGGCCTGCGCAAACGACCAATATACGGCAACGATGTTACGGGTGCTGTGGGCAAGGCAGACAAAATATACGATAAAGCACACTCAGGAGACACCTACACACAAAAAAATCAATCTTGAGACCTGGGACGGTTATCCACAAAATTGGCAAGTGTGACGCATCGCCGTAGAAAATTGAAGCAGCTGCCTTCGAAGCCAACCAAATGGCCACTACCAAGGTAGAGGTAGGCAAAACTCAAGTGTCATAGACCGATGACACAAACGCCCAATCCTAGGCATTGTCCACAATGCCAGCAGATATTCAGGACACAGACAGCCTTCTTTGGGCCTATCCAAACTCAGTAAGATTGAAAATGACTAAACCGCCCACCACTTCACAAACCCTCACCGCTATTAATAGCTGCCTAGATCGAGTGTAACCGGTCAGGGCTGTGACTGCACATTTGGATCCCACTACTGCCTTGTCAATCCGTCACACTGCGGCAGGGGACCAGTAACGGATCACCGACATACATCTGCTACTGACGCCTGACCTACCTAAGGCGTCTGAAGACATCGAGACACCCCATATGCCTAACTGGTCACATAAAACCCTTCAGTGAAACCGCGTAGTCAAGTTATCACTTACAACACTCAGTTCTACCTGAACACGAAAACACACTAATGCTATACATGCGTAGTTGCAGACCTATCAACAGCACATCACTCGTGCAGCTCAGTTTTCTGTCCCTCTACGACAGGTGAAACGTTAGAAAGTGCACGCCGTTGGGGTGAGAAACGGCAAATCGACGAAGGCAGGTCCTGGAGTAGGGGGCTAACACGTCTGCGGCACACGAAAGACGGCTAGGAGTACCCGAAAGATTTTCCGGCTTCACACAATAATGCCCGAAAATTCTCCTGTTTCCATAGCACCGTTTCAGATTGAAAAAGCCCATTTTCCATGGAAATATCTGATGGCATGATGTATGTTAGACAGGTCTGATGTAATTAGTCGGAACCGGAAGTGGTTCACTGAATTCTAGGCCGAAAGAAGGACTCGTATGGAAATTTAAGATTTTCAATTTGAGCGTTTGGTGTACATAAATTTGTTGATAGATGGCCATGCATTTTTTATTAAAACAAACACCCTTACTCATTTTCCGTTCGATCCTCGACACATGGCTGACTATTCCATTCAGAGATTTAAGCAACTGACCGAAAGATATCTCAAAAGGATTTCATTAACGCTGCGCGCAGAATCTGGCCTTTTGAAATCCAATTTAATGCCACAGAGTAGATGTAACTGCAAGTTTTACTGCAGAAGAGCTTGGTAAAATCTTCCAGTCTCGTCTTGTACACAAGAATGACTGTTCTGGCTTTAGACTCTCGCAAACTGCATATTTTCCTTATTTCCCAATCTAAAATGACATGCATAGGCATTTCAAGAAATATAACTTGAAGAAAAACAATTTCCCGGGGGAAACATCGAACTTTGGTCCATACATGTTTGACGCCCGCGTCACATGAGAATACCTATCCTGAGTATTCCTACATAACCCGGATTTTGCCATTTGCCCATCCAAGAAAGATTGAGCATTTCACACGAGGTCATATGACAATGATGAACAATGCATCAGTAAGCTTAGGAATTAGGATGCCACATATAACAGAGACTGCAGTTACTCCAAACAGGGTGATGGCAAATTGCGGACGTTCATTAGCGCGAGCACACATGTTAGGAAATCAGGTACTTTGTAAGTTCGGAATAAGAAATGACTTGTTTACGGTCATTATTTCTATGAAAACCCGTGGAACTAGTTTCACAAAAACTACAAAATCCAGTTTTTCTGCTTTTGAAACCAAAAACGGCGTATTATTCGTACATAGCGCCGTTGATCGTTAGTGTGAATTTCAGCGGCAAGCAAAAAAATTATCACGGACCAAAACCTACTATGTGAGTGACAGGAGTGACTACTGGCATTTGGGCGGTCGCACAACTACTCGCCAGGTAAACTACGCATCTGCATGTGCGGATATCCCATACTCTTCCCGTATATGTAGTGGTAATCGGAGAGTAACTAACAGAAGATACTTCCAGATTTCAGTTTTGCAGTCGAAGGTAGTTGCTGGGAGACGGCAGACGGTGAAGTTCGTGAGTTGGTCAAGCTTCTAAACTTGTGGGTCGTTATATCCGGCCGAAATAATAGTGTCCAGTGCGGTCAAAAGTAAAGCAACTGGAGGTGCGGCGATCCGGACCCGAGGTTACAGATAATATTCTGCTTCGATCATGCCATTCCAACTCAATACAAGTGAGATGATAAGTCGCCGTGTTTAAGACGTGGTGTAATAGCTGTGAGTGACAGACGCGCAAATATCGTGACCACCTGCCTAAGAACTACGTGTGATCGGAAGTCCGATGAAAGATCAAACATGATTTAAGGATACGGTTTTCTAACTAGCTCTGCCAGTAGAGTAGGCTTTAGGCACACTGAAATAGGCGCTAACAGCATTAGCAGAGCTCGCTAACCCACTGATGGCACTGGCAGTCAACATAACCGACGTGAAGAGGCAAGGTGGTGCACAAGCTCTGTGAGACAGGTTGCGCACGCGGTCTACCAGTCTGTATCACTGAACAGCTGGTTAAGCTGCATGAAAGGTCAGACTACGCACACTCATATCAGTGTGGTTGCCAATGCCATCTGAAGTATGAAGTCAGCAGAATTGAATATCCAGAGTACAAAGGCCAATCAGCCCGACCTTTCACTGGGAAAAATCCTAGAAATGCGTTTTGTTCAGGAGATCTTGACCAATGATCTGTCAAAAAAGCACGAACGGCAACACCATTGAATTTTCTGTGGGAAAGTGTAGGCTGAGCGGCGTCAGCATTGCACATGTAGCCGGACAGCCCCTGTAGGAAGAGTTCTTAGTGCACGCTTAACGAAGTTGGCACTGATACCCGTGTATCATTCATAATGCCGGGTAATGTCCTTAGGAAGGGCATGATGATTACCAAGAATTGGAAATTATTTTCCCCTACGGTCTAATTAACGTAAACAAAGTACAAACCGAGGACGGGAGAACGCAGAAAATGACTGACAAGTTCGAGTAAAATATACAAATCTAATTTCTAACAATGCTTCAGCATAGGTGAAGGCGAGCGTTCGAATTCCAGGAGAAAGAATGCTAGCAGTTTACGCTGGCAAATACCCCTTGATATGGTAAAGGAAAACTAAGTCGCAGTGTGTTCTTCCGAAAAATGTATTCAACATATTGCACTTTTTCGTGGATGTTGTATATTACGCAAATAAGAAACGTTACTTTGATTAATATCACACAACCAGAAGAAAATGTCATGGGAAATCAGTGTGCGGAATGTCATGTGGAAATATGTGCATGGAACGTTGGACCTAGTTCAAGCTTTGATCTTCGAAGAAACTCTGCGGGACCTCCTCCTACGCGATGAAAGATAGCGCTCTTGAAGTCCTGCTTACCTCTTGAAGCATGTCCTGGGCATCTATTACGGACATAATGCTACGCGGCCCGGACTCCTGAACTTCACCGGCGAAAAGAAATTCGTCAAGAATAAAATACGCCTTCTCAAAGTGAAATATTATGTCAAGTTCGCACACCTAAGAATGTAAGGAAGGCCGAAAACCCACGTTTCCAAAATACTTGTCAAGAATTTCTACATAGCGATGAATTACTTCGAGGGTAAGTAACTCATTGTCCTCGGGTTCTATAGCGCACAGGAAGTAGAGACTGGCATATCTGATGAGCCAGAAATAGTTAAGACAAATTTGCTACCTCCGGTAAACTAGCTTCATGTCTTTCCACTCCAGAAATGATGACATTTTAGGTTTCCTTGCCAGAACAATTGCCATAACATCGCGGAGTATCTTCTTCTTTTCTTTCTCAGAATACGAAACAAACCATTTCTGAAGTCGGACTTTCCCCTGGCGGCTGAAGAGGAATAAAAAATGAATCATCCCCTAGTAGTGCTGATGTGGCCGGCGTTAGGAGGTGGGAACAGTCCAAGTTGCGTATTGAAATTAACTGAAGGCAGTGAAGTAAAAACGGCACAATCCCTCAGCCAAAAACCAACACCCAACCAGCCGAAACCCAACAACCTCCTAATCGGTGGGCTGATCGCGGGCGTTGACCGATCACTCCGTCCTTGGAAAAAGAGTACGAGTTTTCCAGAGTATTTTGACTGCTTCGGTTAAAATCTGCATGCGAATAATACTACGTATATTAGTGGCACGCTTAGCGACAAACGCCATAAAATGATTGGGCAAAAGCACCGCTTGGTAAATAACATGATAAATTACCTATCCAACAAATACAGAAGGAAGTGCACAAATAAAAAGAGCAAGAAATGGCAAGAAACTTGAACAACAATGGTAGTATATATCAAGCAGAAAAAGGTCGCAGTAACTAACAGCGTTTAATTACTTCAAAATGGTGCTGTGGGGGCCGTCTTAATGTATCATCCATGACAAACTCACGAACGCGAGATCCGAGTATTCTTTCGAAGAAGACATAGAACAATAATCGGGGGGCTGGAAATGGGTATCATGCATAGACGTGCAGCTTTACTCCATCAGCCACCACGCCTGAGGCCACTTTTGCCCGCCCTGTCTCGTCTGAATCTGGTGTGCAAGTGAGGAGTGAGGTTACGCAAGTCTGCCCCGCTATAAATCAGCTCATGCGAAATTGCTGAAGTTCGCACTATCACATAAACAGGGTCAACCACTTAATAAGACACTTGCGCGAGAAACCTATCTTGTATTTTTCACAGCATGCCATGGCAGCATTATAAATGCAACACATTACTAGCCTGATTCATGCATCAGCTGCGACCGAAGCAAGCTGTTTGACTGCACTATCTGAATCCTTCTCTCTGTATGTCGGCGTAGCCACTGCTCTCGTTTTAATTAAAAGGTTACCCAGAGATATAAATAGGGAGCTGTTTTAAAAAGTGTTCAGCATTTTTATCTGCTCGCAAATCGAGTGTGAAATTCAGGTCAGGTGGCGCTTGAGCAAAAAGGATTGAAAGCTACTTTAAACTACCATATGCAAACTACGGCAGTGGTGTTTGGTCTAAAGTACTCATCCTGAAAATACCGAATTGACGCATTTATTCTATTCGGCCTAGAGCTCGAGGAGAACTCATTCAGACCTACGTTATTCTGAAGTATTTCGATTTTTCCCATCACCATGACTATACTTTCGCATTGTTTGTAAAAATTAATCTAAGTTGGAATTGTGTTTGCCATCGAGAATATTTATCACACCTGGATATTCTTCTATCGTCGTGTTCGCAACGAATTGTAGGTGGCAGGAACGGACAGTCGGTGGGCAAGCTAACTGTAATAGTACGGACAGCGACGGCACCTCGTTGGAAGACAAGTCCAGTGAGATGTCCTTCGCACCCATAACCCGTGCTCGCTCTACCTGCACTTCCAGCCAACGACCAGCAAAGCGTGCAAAAAGCGTAATTACCGCAAAAAGTGTGAGGTACGAAGACGAGCCTTGTGTTGGATGCGCAGATATCCAAATCAAAGTAGAACAACGTGAAAAGGAGCTTGCGTATTTAAGGACGCTCGTGAAACAGATCCTAGACGACCAGAACGTGTCCAGTGGTAGAGTCCAAAAAAAGAAGAGCAAAACGCGAAAAACGCCAAAAAAATATCTCCTCGGGGGCATCTTCAATCACGAGTAGCAATTCAGTAGCCAAAAACGTTGACACCAGCAACAGCAGGACAACGAGAACGAAGCCGCCGATAAGAGCAGACTCGATTCCCACGCAAGATGTCTTTAGCGAGGTCGCACAAAAATTACCTGGCGCAGAAGTGATCTCGCCTAAGCCTCTTGCTGTAAATGACGGGAATTCTCTTCTGCCTGAAGACGATATAGCTGGGTCATCCAGTCTACTGTTGGCCTTTTGTTCTGTCAACCACCCCGAGCGCACTACAGAGCACGTATCTGAATGCAAAGACATGAACCCGTGGGTAGAGGGGAGAGGGGAACGCCATGACAGGAGTCTGAAGTCACAGCCAGACCTTATGGGCTGCTCCGGGCAGTCGGTAGACAGCAAAAGTGTGCGTCCCAGCGACGACTCCGTAAATCGTCCTCACCCACATGCAGTGAATTCACCGGAAATACAAAGTAAGGAGGACCATGCTCGCCAGCAGTGTCTGGTTATTCAGGGTCTGTCGGAATCGAATGCAGTCAGACCTGAAGACCGTGTCTCCGGGGACCTTGCTTCTTTTCATTGTCTACTAAATCATTTACTACATGCAGACATGGAAATAAAAGTTCTAAAACCATTCCGGATTGGAAAAAGGAGTGAAGACAGGACAGCAGCACAACCACCTCTGTCGCTCAAAATTATGCTGGAGTACAAAGAGCAAATCAAATTGATCCTCCTAAAAAACCGACCTAAGAAACACACACAAACAGGTTTTTTCAACCGGACTATTCACCAGCGGAACGGCTGAAACGCCGGGAGCTTGTCTTGGAATTAAAATCAAGACTGAAGGGTGGCGAACAGAATCTGGCTACCTTCAAGGGGAAGGTAGTTCGGAAATATATGCCGTTTCAGTGGAACCAGCCTGTAATAATAAGAACAACGGCAGCTACTCAGCTAACACACATACCTTCGTTGAACCACCTGCTCAAGGCGGCAACACAAGTAAGCGAATAACGTCCAGTGATCCGATTGAGGCAAGGCATATAAATAGAACCCATCAGCCAGAGAACATGGCTTTCGAGATAACGGAGTAATGCTCGAAACAGTAACAAATGCAACGGGAAATTCGGCTGGTGCAAAACTGAGGTGCTTGTACACGAATGCCCAAAGCCTCATATCGAAACTAGACGAGCTAAACATTGCCTAGTCGAGCTGTCTCCAGATATTTTAGCAGTAACCGAGACCTGGCTGTCCGGAAATACTAGTGATAGTGAAGTAGCCTTGCCAGGATACCAAATTTATCGGAGGGACAGGGAACATCGTCAGGGCAGTGGTATAGTTGTGTATGTAAATGAAGGCCTGGCAGTGTCGGAAAAGACCACCAAGTTTGCGTGCGGCATGGGAGCTATTCGGTTGACCATCAAGGCTACCGGTTCGATGTGTCTCGATGTCCTCACTGTCTACCGACCACCTAGGACAGATCAAATCGCAGACACTCAACTATTGGAGCAGTTGGACCTAACATCATGATCATGGGCGACTTCAACGCACCAGGAACAAACTGGAATACCCTCCAAGCGTCAGGTCCAAAATTGTCATTCGATTACCGTCTGCTGAACAAAACATTAAAGGCATCCCCCACACAACATGTCATGTTCCCAACGAGAACACGTGAAGGACAAAGGACAAACTGCCTTGATCCGGTTTTTACGAAAACATCAGACAGCATAGACGAGATCACCTCTATGCCGCCTCTTGGCCGAAGTGATCACATAATGCTGATGTGGGATTATTCGTTATTCTCCATTTAGCATTATCAAGACCAAAAAAGACGGAATGTTTGGCGAGGCGACTTCAATCAGATGAGGGCAAACTTATCCGGTCTCGACTGGGGCTCGTTGATTACGGGAAATGCCAACGATGACTGGGAGCTTTTCAAGAATGTCCTTCTGCAGCTCATCAACAACCAATGCCCACTGCCTAGTGTCAGACTGAATAAACGCCCTGGGTGGCTAAATAGGAACCTTAAGAAAGAAACAAACAGGAAGCACAAATTGTGGAGAAAATACTGCGTTACTGGGCAAGTTGAATATTTCCACACCTACAAGACACAGAGGAACAAACTGAGCAACCTGATCGTGTAAACGCGACGGGAATTCGAGAAGAAATTTCTGCAAAAGGCAACGCTGAACCCAAAATTACTCTACAGTAACCTCCGACGAATTACAAGGAACAGGCATCAAATCCCCTTAATAAGGACTACTGATGGCGTTGAGATTGCTGATAGTAGGGATACAGCTGCGTATTTTTCACATTTTTTCCAATAAGTCTGGACAAACGAGTCAAGGTCCATTTCTCCCTCCACAGAAGGACTGCCGACCCCAAGAGTCAGCGATATACTCTTCTCAGAAGGCAGTGTCCAAAGAAAATTGGAGGCATTGAACGAATCGATGTCACCAGGACCAGACGAGATTCCACCCAAGCTTCTCAAGGAACTTGCCAGTGAGCTCACTCCTTCTTCGTCGATGCTCTTTCAAACGTCTTTTGATACTGGAACACTTCGGATGGATTAGAAGCTGGTGCATATTACTCCGCTACACAAAGGAGGTAACAGGGCAGCGACGACAAATTACAGACCCATAAGCTTGACAAGCATTCTCTGCGAAGTGATGGAAAAGATCATAAAGAGTGAGCTGATGCAATTCCTGGAAGTTCACGGTCTACTATCAAAATGCCAACATGGGTTCCGAAAAGGAAGATCCTGCACGACAAACTTGCTGCAATCTCTCCAGAGCTGGACCCGAGCTCTCGACGACAGGCACGCGGTCTACATAGCTTTCATCGACTTCCAGAAGGCGTTCGACACTGTGCCACACCAGAGGCTCGTACATAAACTTAAAAAAATATGGATCAGTGGCAACTTCCTTAAATGGATTGAAAACTTCCTTGTGGGTCGACAGCAGATTGTCTGCATCGGTCGGGGAAAATCAGACCCTGCTATGGTCGATCGTGGTGTCCCCCAGGGTTAAGTCCTGGGACCCATTTTGTTCCTTATCTACATGGACGATGCCGCAAGAGCTTTAGACTGGGAAGTAGCAATGTGTGCTGACGACATGAAGGTATGGATTGTAATTCGGGGTCCAGCCGACGAAAACAGACTGCAGATGAACCTGAATCGGTTGGAGGAGTGGTCAAGCAGTTGGCTCCTGCGGTTCAATGTTGCCAAATGCAGCATACTTCGCCTAGGCCACACAGCCAGATCCGCCAGCACAACAAACTACTTTATGGGCGGTGCAGCCCTACAAGAGGTCGAAGCCCAAAAGGACCTCGGTGTGCTGACGACCAGTTCCCTAAGGCCATCCGCCCACAGTTCGAGAGTGACAAAAACCGCAATGTCCGTACTGCACTCCATCAAGCGTGCGTATATGGACTTTGACGAAGAAGCTTTCTCTAAGACATTCGGAACATTCGTCCGGCCGCATTTAGAGTACGGCATACAAGCTTGGAGGCCGTGGGCGGTTGAGGATCAAAACTGCCTCGAAAGGGTCCAGAGGAGATCCACGAAGATGGTTAGTGGTCAAAGCTCCTTTCCTTATGCAACTCGCCTAGTAAATCTGAACCTCTTTCCTTTGAGTTATAGGCAACTTCGCGGGGATCTCTTGCAAGCCTTCCGCATTGTTAAGGGGTTGGATTGCAGTCTGGCCTTCGAGGACTTCTTTGAATTTGCTACCACGACCAACCTCCGAGGCCACCTGTTAAAACTGCGCACTCAGCAGGCAAGATTAGATGTAAGGAAGTTCTCCTTCTCTGTTAGAGTGGTCAAATCATGGAATGCCCTTCCCGCAGATGTTGTGATGTCACCATCTATACAAAGTTTTAAAAAGATTCTTGACATATTTATGTTCCAAAATGACCAAGAGCGATGAGAAGTAGAGCTCACCCCCTGTAACTGGTTCTTTTTTTGTCCGTCCATTATGGGCGCGTCTGAACTATTTCAGCCCAGAATATTTATCTGTATACCACACATTATTAACGTTCAATTCAATGCAGAAGGACATTCTTGAAAAGCTCCCAGTCATCGTTGGCATTTCCCGTAATCAACGAGCCCCAGTCGAGACCGGATAAGTTTGCCCTCATCTGATTGAAGTCGCCTCGCCAAACATTCCGTCTTTTTTGGTCTTGATAATGCTAAATGGAGAATAACGAATAATCCCACATCAGCATTATGTGATCACTTCGGCCAAGAGGCGGCATAGAGGTGATCTCGTCTATGCTGTCTGATGTTTTCGTAAAAACCGGATCAAGGCAGTTTGTCCTTTGTCCTTCACGTGTTCTCGTTGGGAACATGACATGTTGTGTGGGGGATGCCTTTAATGTTTTGTTCAGCAGACGGTAATCGAATGACAATTTTGGACCTGACGCTTGGAGGGTATTCCAGTTTGTTCCTGGTGCGTTGAAGTCGCCCATGATCATGATGTTAGGTCCAACTGCTCCAATAGTTGAGTGTCTGCGATTTGATCTGTCCTAGGTGGTCGGTAGACAGTGAGGACATCGAGACACATCGAACCGGTAGCCTTGATGGTCAACCGAATAGCTCCCATGCCGCACGCAAACTTGGTGGTCTTTTCCGACACTGCCAGGCCTTCATTTACATACACAACTATACCACTGCCCTGACGATGTTCCCTGTCCCTCCGATAAATTTGGTATCCTGGCAAGGCTACTTCACTATCACTAGTATTTCCGGACAGCCAGGTCTCGGTTACTGCTAAAATATCTGGAGACAGCTCGACTAGGCAATGTTTAGCTCGTCTAGTTTCGATATGAGGCTTTGGGCATTCGTGTACAAGCACCTCAGTTTTGCACCAGCCGAATTTCCCGTTGCATTTGTTACTGTTTCGAGCATTACTCCGTTATCTCGAAAGCCATGTTCTCTGGCTGATGGGTTCTATTTATATGCCTTGCCTCAATCGGATCACTGGACGTTATTCGCTTACTTGTGTTGCCGCCTTGAGCAGGTGGTTCAACGAAGGTATGTGTGTTAGCTGAGTAGCTGCCGTTGTTCTTATTATTACAGGCTGGTTCCACTGAAACGGCATATATTTCCGAACTACCTTCCCCTTGAAGGTAGCCAGATTCTGTTCGCCACCCTTCAGTCTTGATTTTAATTCCAAGACAAGCTCCCGGCGTTTCAGCCGTTCCGCTGGTGAATAGTCCGGTTGAAAAAACCTGTTTGTGTGTGTTTCTTAGGTCGGTTTTTTAGGAGGATCAATTTGATTTGCTCTTTGTACTCCAGCATAATTTTGAGCGACAGAGGTGGTTGTGCTGCTGTCCTGTCTTCACTCCTTTTTCCAATCCGGAATGGTTTTAGAACTTTTATTTCCATGTCTGCATGTAGTAAATGATTTAGTAGACAATGAAAAGAAGCAAGGTCCCCGGAGACACGGTCTTCAGGTCTGACTGCATTCGATTCCGACAGACCCTGAATAACCAGACACTGCTGGCGAGCATGGTCCTCCTTACTTTGTATTTCCGGTGAATTCACTGCATGTGGGTGAGGACGATTTACGGAGTCGTCGCTGGGACGCACACTTTTGCTGTCTACCGACTGCCCGGAGCAGCCCATAAGGTCTGGCTGTGACTTCAGACTCCTGTCATGGCGTTCCCCTCTCCCCTCTACCCACGGGTTCATGTCTTTGCATTCAGATACGTGCTCTGTAGTGCGCTCGGGGTGGTTGACAGAACAAAAGGCCAACAGTAGACTGGATGACCCAGCTATATCGTCTTCAGGCAGAAGAGAATTCCCGTCATTTACAGCAAGAGGCTTAGGCGAGATCACTTCTGCGCCAGGTAATTTTTGTGCGACCTCGCTAAAGACATCTTGCGTGGGAATCGAGTCTGCTCTTATCGGCGGCTTCGTTCTCGTTGTCCTGCTGTTGCTGGTGTCAACGTTTTTGGCTACTGAATTGCTACTCGTGATTGAAGATGCCCCCGAGGAGATATTTTTTGGCGTTTTTCGCGTTTTGCTCTTCTTTTTTTGGACTCTACCACTGGACACGTTCTGGTCGTCTAGGATCTGTTTCACGAGCGTCCTTAAATACGCAAGCTCCTTTTCACGTTGTTCTACTTTGATTTGGATATCTGCGCATCCAACACAAGGCTCGTCTTCGTACCTCACACTTTTTGCGGTAATTACGCTTTTTGCACGCTTTGCTGGTCGTTGGCTGGAAGTGCAGGTAGAGCGAGCACGGGTTATGGGTGCGAAGGACATCTCACTGGACTTGTCTTCCAACGAGGTGCCGTCGCTGGCCGTACTATTACAGTTAGCTTGCTGAGACCTTATAAATTTCGACATGATATAGTAGGTATAATTTCACTTTCGATGTTATGATAAATACTTCTGATTGTATATTAGGATTTAAAGTGAATTTTTAAAACTCAATAAGCGAAAAAATACTTAAAATCCGATAAATTTTGGGAATTTAATCAGAAGCGACTTAGCCTGTTGCAGACCTCGTAGGACTTGAGTAACTGCAGATCTCGAAGGATGATGAGGGATTATTTTTCTAGGCTGTATAGCCGCGATTCGGCCGTATACGCTGTATAGCCACGATCCGGTTGCGTAGTCAGATGCGTAGTCAGTTGGAACGTGCCAATAAACAAATTGCACTTAATCCAGGCTCCTGACGAATTTCGATGCGTGAAAAAAATATTCAAAAAACGCACAAAGCAATTCTGTACGTACGGTTCCAGTATCAATGTCAGAGACGGTATCTGTGAAATGGTAACCAAGTCGAAATAGTCGCAGTAGGAGCGCAGAATAATTCCGTTGTGCTCAGTCGGGCTAGTGATAAACTGCTTAGAGAATACCAGCACAAAAATGTGATCACGGAGAATGAATGGCATCAAATATTGGCAACTGACACCGCTCTAACTCGAGTCTATGGTCTGCCAAAAATGCATAAAGCAAATGCCCCACTTCGGCCAATCGTTGTTCTAAATGGCAACCCCATCTACAATTTAGCAAAGTGCATGTACACAAAACTGAAGTTCATCTAAGACAATGTGATTACCTCAATTCAGTCAGCCTTTCAATTCCTCATAGATCTGAGAGGCCGGAAGATGCAATCTGACTAAATCATGGTCTCCTTCGATGTGACGTCGTTATTCACATCCATCCCACCAAACTTGGCCCGCGAAGTTCTGCGTATGAGACTTGAGGAGGTGTATGACGAGAATGAATGAACACTTCATGAGGCTGTTTGAATTCTGCCAACAAGTTCTCTTCACTTTGCTAGACAGACCTATGAACAGACCAAGGGAACTCTAATGGGCTTACTAGTCTTCGGTTTAGTAGCAGAGCTGGTCCTACAGGAGTTAGAAAAGACAGCCATCATCCAACATGAGCCGGTATTTTGGCGCCGTAAAGTGGACGACGTTTGCCATCGTAAAGATGGACATGCTACATTATTTATCCAGCCTGCCCGACGCAGTCCTCCCTGGTATGAAAGGCACGACGGAAGGAGAACAGAAACAACGTTCGCCCTTCCTGGATTTGATTGTCAGAAGAAACCTCGACGGTGAACTTGAAACGACAGTTTATATTCAGTTCATTCAGTTCAGTTTATTTTGGTAAGGATAATAGGCAAAGCCTTTGAAAACCCTATTGACTACATGTCAGCTCGTTAGAAATAACTGTACACGAACAACAAAAATATTCGCTATTAAAGCATTACTTGATTCATTTGAGTAGCATTGTATCAAAGAAAATATTTACGGGGTTGTGGGGTATTAGTTCAGATTCAGACTGTCGAGGGAAAAAGGGGACACAAATAATCATCTAAGCGTTTCTTGAAGAGTTGCAGAGGCGTAGCCTCCACAACTGACCGACGGAGATTGTTCCATTTCACCACTACCCTCTGCGTGAAAAACTCAGAGCGAAGATTCAGCCTGGATATTGTTGTCCGTAACTTCATCGAGTGACCACAATGATTGGGTGAAAGGTGCCACTGAAACATGTCCTCAGATTTAAGCCCATGCTCAAGGCCATATATTATCTTGTAAACGAGGATAAGATCACCTCTTTGTTGCCTGTAAGACAGAGGGAATAAATTAAGGCAATTCAGTCTGTGTGTAGGATTGGCCTTTTGGAACGTTTACCAGCTTTGTTGCACGCCGTTGTACCCGTTCGAGGCATGCTTGGTCCTTTACTAGCCATGGTCGCCATGCTTGTATGCCATATTCTGAGTGGGGCCGAACAAAAGTGCCGTAAACTCTCCCAAAAAGGTCTTGGTCAAAGTTTACGAAAGCCCTTTTGATTGCATGTAGCACTCCCATGGCGTTTTTTGTGGCCTTGTGACACTGCAGTGTTGGTTTCAGGTTGTTCTGTATCCAAACCCCGAGATCCTTCTGTGAAGATTCTGCAGTGAGCCTGATATCTTTCAGGTGATATGTCCTCAGGCTCTCATTTGAATGAGAGTTGGTTGGAAGCAGATGAAGGACGACACACTTCTCCAGATTGAACTCTAGAAGCCATTTCTTCGACCACGCTTGCGGTCGATGCAGATTATCTTGAAGGGATCTCTGATCATTAGGTCCCTTAATGACTTTCCAGAACTTAACGTCGTCTGCAAACATTATTTTGCCGTATTCGAGTTCCTGAAGGCTGTCGTTAACATGAAGGATGAAGACCAATGGTCCCAGAACTGAGCCTTGAGGCATACCGCTGGTCACGTTCACCCATTCTGACATATCATCTCCGATGCAGACACGTTGTTTCCGACCAACCAGAAACGCCCTTATCCAGTTCAGAAGACCTCCCTGGATACCGATGGCGCTCAATTTGTGAAGAGGACGTTGGTGCGGAACAGTATAGAAAGCTTTGCGGAAATCGATGTACACGACCTCAAAACCCTCTTCTAGAGCCCTGGTCCAGATCTCCAGACAAGCTAGCAGATTTGAGAGGCAGGAACGTCCTCCCCGGAAGCCATGTTGAAAATCCTGCAAGATGTTATTTTTTTCACAAAATTGCTGTATAACGCTCTTTACTAGAGCTTCCATCGTTTTGAAAGGTGGGGGGGGCAAGTTAAGCTAATAGGCCTAAAGCTGCTTGCTGTCATCCTGCTACCTCCCTTATGCAATGGAACGAGGTTAGTTGTCTTCCACTGTGAGGACAGCCTTCCTGTTCTCATTAACAGCTCAAAGAGAGTCGAAAGAGACTTTAACAGCTTCGTTGATAGCCCCTTAAGTATTAGTCTGGGAATTCCGTCGGGTCCGGGACACTTATCGGGTTTTATTTGACTGAGGAAGCGTCTTACTGCTTCGACGGAAAAGGCGACGGTTTCAATGACGGCAATATCTTGGCGCATTTGAAGCTCCCGGCTGTCTCGGTCCATTTCAAACTGCTGATTATCTTCTGAGGACTCTCCCGTAAAAACCGGTTGAAAAAACTGAGACAGAAATCGCACTTTCTGTGGCCCTTCAACTAATAAGTTTCCGAGGCTATCCTTTAGACACGCAATTTCGTCCCTTTGTTTCCTCCTACTGCGAATGTACCCGTAAAACTTCATGGGACATGTAATTGATTCTGCTATCAGTTGGCGCTGGAAAGAATTCCTAGCAACTCGTATTTGTTTGCGGCATTTATTGCGCTGATCCTTATATTCGGCGAATGACCTTAGATCTCGAAGTTGCAAATACTTTTTCCAGAGTCGCTGTTTCTTCTTAATGGTCTTTTTTGTCGTCGGATTGACCCACGGCGGTCGGGCACATGGTCTTGTCATTTTTATTGGACAATGGGAATCAATTAGACGCTCTATAATCCCGCGAAAGTACTGCCAGAATTCGTCTGAATCTTCTCTGTTGACCAACCAGGTTTCTTCCAAAAGAGAGCGTCTCATTGCGTTAAAGTCACCCTTCCAAATATTTCTGTGCGTCTTGATTTTTGGTTGTTGGTTGGATAGGAGAGCGCACACGCAGGTAAAAGCAATATGATCGCTTAAACCGAGTGGAGGTTGTGGATGCACTTCCTTTATGAGTCTTCTTCTTTACTGAAAACGAGATCTAAACAATTAGATCGTTGTCCTTCTCTCATTCTTGTTCCGAATTTTATGTGCTGAATGAGGTATTCATTCAGGGAGAGTTGTAGTAGCTTGTGGTCAAATGACGTGGACGGGGCGTTTGTTAGGGGAATGTTCCAGTCTATTCCTGGAGCGTTAAAGTCACCCAGAAGTAGTAAGTTCTCCTGCTTACATAACAACTCCAGTGCACTAAGTAATTCCCTATCGGCGATTTCATTCGAGCTGGGAGGCCGATAGACAACACACAGGTTCAGTGTCGGTAACTGTTTGATACATATCTTGCATGAAATTATTTCAAAATTTCGGGACGCACCATCGGAAGTTTCTCGTTGAGAGCACGCAATTTCATTTGACACATAAATAGCTGTGCCTCCTCCTCTACGATGAAATCTGTCACAACGGAACAGTTGGTAGCCTTCAATTCTGACTTCGCTACTACTAATTTCCTCAGTCGACCATGCCTCTGTTAGGACAATTATGTGTGGCTTCTGTTCAGAGACTAGTAATCTGAGTTCATCTAGCTTGTTGAGAAGACGCCGACAGTTAGTGTAATAGATTTCTAGACAGCGGCCACTGGTTCTAGCAGCCTCAGGAGCTGTCACGTTTGCATCGGTTAGGCTGTCAGAATGACGACCTTCGGCCAGAGAAATGTCCGTTTGACCTGAATTATTTGTTCATTCTTGATTTGTAGGTGTGTTTCGCCGCTGTTTCTCCGCTTTTCCAGCTCCGTCATCAGCTCTCTCAGTTTCATTCGCTCTTTTGGCTCGTAATCCGGCTGAAAAAAACTTCAGGATGCTGACCCCGTAGAGATAATTTTCTCTGTAACAGGAGCTGGGCCTGTGCTTTAGTCTCCAAAATAACTTTTAGGGGTCGAGGCCGGGAATTGGAACCGGGTGCTGCCTGAGTATTCCCTAGTCGGAATGCTTTGAGAACAGTAAGTGACTCATAGTCTCTTAACAAAGCTTTCTCATACACTTGAAGAAGGTCTAAGTCATGCATAACTCTCTCCTTTGGAATTGTTGCCGTTGATTCGGGTACTCCTTTTATAACTACAGTTTGCTTGCGACTAAATCTAGTGCTCGTTGTTGTTGCACATCTTTTGAGGGAATGAAAGTTCTTCTCCAGTTTACTTGTTTCGCTGACTCAGGATGAACTAGCTACTGGGCTAGCGAAACTGAGATCCGTGTACGATTCATTTATCTTCGTGTTGATAACCCTTCCTTCTGTAGTGGTACATCCTTCTGTGTTTCCGAGGTGCTCGTCGAAAAAGCTTACCTCATTTTCTTTCGAAGCCTCCCCTTGAATATTCTGTCCACAAGGTGTTCCGATATCTTTATTGTTCAAGCTAGTTGGGAGACTCCGGCGATCCTTCGTAGGCTTCCTGCTCGTCCTCCTCCGCTAGTCCGCGCGTACGCAAGTGGCCTACGCGGTCGCCCCCAACGACGACGACAGTTCGACCATCGATTTCGATGATGTCCACAGTGTGCCCTACAGCTGCAGCAGCGGTGGGAGCAGGGACGGTGACTTACGGAGGAGTTTATAGTGCCAGTAGACTTGCGCTGCATCTACCTACACTCTCTCCTCCTCCCCCGCCTGAGCCCGGTGTCAAGACAGAGTCAAGAAGACCGGAGACGAGAGAGGCCGCAGGCGGATGACTAGGACGGATCCTCACCTTGGCGTTCCACCACATCCCCTGGTCCACACAACAATAACCAGGATTTCAACCAACAACAGGGACTTGGAGGCTGGCACGGCCGAAGCCGCACCTAGGCGTGCCGCCAACGCCTGGCTCGGATCTCACACTGTAGTGGGAGTGCCATAAAGGCCACATTAAAAAGGAGCCATTTCAGCCTGACTCTCAGACCGCCTCCAGTCAAGGAGGAGGTCCACGTTACCCCGTCAGTTGGCAACCTTCCAAGCCACGGCTTTTAGCGCACTGTGATAGCTTCAAGCGTGTCAGATTGTTTATAGTGAGGAAAGTGCGCTGAGTCGTCGACCTCACTCTCCCTTCCCACTCCCACACCCCAGCCGCTGTCCGAGCCGGTCAGCAGACTGGAGAGGGAGATGGGCGCGGTGACTGCCATGGTCGACTGACCATGACTACGCGCGCTACGAGCACGACCTGGCCCCCCATACACACAACACCAGGATTTCACACAACGGGGGTTGAACGGCGTGTCTCTCACTTGCGTGAGAGAGCCGTGGAAGGTGCGGTTTCAGCCCGCCGCCCGGCCCACCAGTTAGCCACTCCACACACGGACACACAACGCGACGAACTGCGTGAACCGAGAGCGGGCGTCAATCAGCAACCTTCCTATCCACGACGCTTGACGTGTCGGGATAGCCTCGGACTCAAGTCACCCGTACAGCCGAAACCGCATAGGGACCGAGTCGAGGTGCACACTTCCCACTTGCGTGGGAGGTGGCAGTTGGGTGCATGAGGTGTGTGAGTGTTGATTTCTGGTGGGGTGATGATGATGATGATGATGATGGTGGTGGTGGTGGTGGTGGTGGTGGTGAAAGGTTTGGTGAGTGAAGGCGTTGTGTGGCCGGCGGTTGTTTACCGCAGGTCGTCATGGATGCGCATGTGGCCGAATAGGCCCATGCGATGCCTGAAGGTGCGAGGACAGTGTGGGCAGTTTAGACGAGCTTGGTGGGTATAGGTGGGTGCTCCAGGCACTGGTTCGCCAGTCTCTGTGCGATGGATTCGCAAGTGACCGACCGGGCCGATGCGTGAAATGAATGTGCGTGAACAGTGTGGGCAGGTGAAGTCGGCGGCGTCAGTGTCAGCTACGGAGGAGGCGGTGATGGCGGTGGTGGTGGTGATGGGCGCGCAGGACGATGGAGCGAGGGTGGGACTGGGCGTGGCGGATGTGCTGGGTGTCGTGGGTGTGTCGGAGTTGCGGTCAATTCCGCTCTCGTGGATGCGCATGTGGCCGAATAGGCCCATGCGGTGCGTGAAGGTGCGAGGGCAATGTGGGCAGTGGAGGCAAGTGCGGTGGGTGTAGGTTGGTGCTCCAGACACTGGTTCGCCAATCTCTGTGTGATGGATTCGCAAGTGACCGACCAGGCCGGTGTGTGAGGTGAAGGTGCGGTCGCAGTGAGGGCAGGCGTAGTCCTGATCCTCATCGCTGGAGTCGGGGGAGGTGGTGGTGGTGGTGTCGGTTGTTGCGCGCGTGACAGTCGCCTGAGCGGCCGTCGTTGGAGCAGTGGAAGAGGAGGAGGGGGAGGAGGAGGAGGTGGGTGGGAGTGGTGGTTCAGAAGAATTGTCAGAGTTAGTTGGCGGTGGAAAGGACGAGGCAGAGGCGGGCGGCGGACGATGGTTGATGCAGGTCGAGAGGCGCAGTTGATCCGAAGATGTCCAACAAGTCCGATTCGAGCCCGGAATGTCCGTTGACATCGAGGACACGTTAGGAGCGGTTGTGCGGCGGCGTTGCGTACAGGGCGAAGTTGTGATTTGCGGGCTTCGCGTTTCGCTTTGGCGGCAGCGATGCGGTTGGCTTCGTAAATCGCAGCGCCTGTCTTCACTGTCCTCTTCCAGGTCGGTCGGTCGAGTGCGAGCTCTTCTCAGTTGGTCGGGTTGATTTTCAGACACTTCAGGGAGGACTTCAAGGTATCCTTGTAACGGCGAATTTGGGCCTCCTTGACGGCCAGAACCCGTCGCGACGTCTCCGTAGAACAGTCGTTTGGGTAGTCGCTCGTCATCCATGAGCACCAGGTGGCCGCTCCAGCGCAGCTGCATTTGTCTCAACATGGGGTAGATGCTTACGATTCCCGTCCGTTCCAACACATCAGTGTTGGGGACTCGATCCTGCCAGTTCAGCCTCAGGATGCGACGAAGACAACTGAGGTGGAAGTGTTTCAGACGGCATGCCTGCTTTACTTACACCGTCCAAGTCTCCGCTCCATACAGTAGCGTCGGCAGGATGGCGGCCTTGTACATCTTCAGCTTCGTGCTCAGTTGAAGACCCTGACGGTTCCAAACTGTATTTTGGAGGCGACCGAAGGCTTGACTGGCTTTCGAGATCCTGTTGGCGACTTCGTCATCGATCTCGGTGTTGCGCGAGAGAGTACTGCCCAGGTACGGGAAGTTCTCCACCACTTGCAGTTGGGTTCCGTTCACGCTGATTTGCGGCGCGTTGGGGGCTGTGGCTGAGTTGGGTGGCGGTTAATGCATCACCACCGTCTTCTGCGTGTTGATGACCAGCCCAAAGTTCTCGCAGGCGGCGGAGAATAGGTCCATGCTGCGTTGCATCTCCTCTTCCGAGGTGGTGTTCAGGGCGCAGTCGTTGGCGAAGAGAAGTTCGTGCACGGTGGTTGTGGATACGCGCGATTGGAAGTGCATCAGTCGTTGATTCAGGAGGTGACCGTCTGTCCTGTAGGCGATGCGGATCCCGGGGCGTTCATCACGGTAGGCGTCCAACAGCATGGCAGAGAACATAAGACTGAAGAGGCTTGGCGCCAGTACGCATCCCTGCTTCACTCCGTTGGTCACTGCGAATGCCTCTGAGACAGCTCCGTTGTCCGTGACTCGCGCCATCATACCGTCGTGCAGCTGACGTACCATCTGAGTGAATCGCTCCGGACAGCCGAATTTCTGCGTGATCTTTCACAGTCCTTTACGATTCACCGTATCCAGCGCTTTCGTCAGGTCCACGAAGGTAGACTACAGGTGGGTCCGCATCTACTGGCATTTCTCCTGTAGTTGGCGGGCGGCGAAGATCATATCCGTGGTCCCACGATGTCGACGGAAACCGCACTGGCTTTCTGGCAGAAGGCCCAGTTCCAGATGGTTATTGGGGCGGTCGCCCCCAGAGGACTCAAACATCAACGCCACTAACGAAATGACATTCTCTGCATTACATCAAACACCTTTCGGATGTGCTCTAGCGCATTATTGCGGAGTCAGATGTTGGAATTGCACATCGCCCCAAAGCGAGCATGCACAGTAGTGTCATGAAAATGAAAGACCGTTTAAAGCCTGACGAGCAATCTGCATCCCGTAAAAGAACTGTCCCGATAAATACACAGGTTAGACTGGACGCATGCTCGGATCGCGTATACACGAACATAAGCTGGCTGTGCAACGAAGCGATGCATTATCACAAGTGGCCACCCACACCTACGAAATGGGTCACGAGTTTAACGTCGCAGCCACCGAATTAGTCGCCCATGCCGGAATAAAAACAGGCCGAGAGTTGGCTGAAGCCTGGGCCTGGGATGAGAACTCAGTCAATCGATTTCTCGATTTGGCGTCGGCGTACAGAGCCCTGCGCAGTCATCTTCAGTCTTGCGCCGCCGGCCGACGATTGGCCCCCATGTCTCTTGTTCTGTTGCTGCTACTATCTCTGACGATGGACTCCCGCAGCTGGTCTTCAGCCCGTACCCCCCAAAGTTCTGGGCCAGATACGTCGACCACACGTTCGTTGTAATCAAGAGGAGCGAGGTGAGGGCTTTCAAGGCATTGTTGAACTCAGTTTTTCCCGACATTCGGTTTACTATGGAAGAGGAAGTCAAAAACCAGTTGCCCTTCCTGGACGTACAAGTTACAAAATTGACAGACGAAAAGATAAGAACAACGGTTATCCGTAAGGCAACAATTACTAGGCGCACCCTCCGCTTCCGAAGCAACCACCCTGTTGGTCATAAACGCAGTTGTATCAGAACTCTCTTTCAACGTGTTTAAACACACCGTGGAGACGACAGTGGGAGAAATGAGGAGTTGAATCACTTACAGGCCCTTTTTAAAACCAACGGCCACCCGAAGTCCTTCATACGAAATTGTCTCAAAAAGCCTCATTTTAAACGGTCGAAGGGAGAAAAGCCCAGATTGTGGCTCTCAAGACCCTATGTGAAGAACGTATCAGGGGCGACGACGAAAATCCTGAAACCTTTTGGGATTAGCGGGCTCATAAAGCAGAATTCACTATCAGACGGCAAATCATGAAGCCCAAAGACCCGCTACCAACAACAGAACAGTCGGCGGTGGTGTACAGCATACCATGCCTAAACTGCAATGCGAGGTATGTTTGTGAAACTGGCAAACGCCTCGGTAAAAGATTGCACGAAAACCAACTTGCAAGCAACCGCAAGGACAAGCTTTCTTTGGTCTTTGGCCACATACGAGAACTGAACCTCCATTTTGCCTTTTGGAAAGCGGGGGTAATTGGTCTAGTCAATGAGAAGATGGTCAAACTGGCACTCGAAAATTGGTCCTCGACTGGCACACTCAACCGAGGTATAGATCTACATCCCGTCTACCAGGCGCTGCGTACAAGGCTCGAATCAGTCCGGACAGGACCAGTAAGGCAAGCGAAAACGTGGGACAGAGAGTCAACGCTCACGGAAAAGAGCGGAGTTGGGGACCAGAAGTTATGCGACCAAAGCCGAACACTGTCTCACCGATGCGTCCGCGAAGCTGAATTCTGCTCACATGAATAGCAACGACCGATCGGTCCACCGGTTGACGTGGGAGAGACCAACCGGCACGTTGATTTGACTACAATTACGCCGACCCCAGAGGGAACAAAGGTCACGCGAGCTTGTCGGCGGTCAGCCCCGAGGAGGTCTAAGCCAGTCAGCGCTAAACGGGCACGTCGAAGTTCGTGCGTCGAGCACGGCTATAATACGAGGCAGGCGGCAAGACTGAACAACACAAGATGGGCAGGAGCAACAAGCAAGCTAATCTGATGATGGAAACGAGGAGGTTTCCGAAACGTCAGTTCGAATACAATATAGTCCATGAATTCGCCCTCGTTTCTTCTTCTCCTTCGTATTCTTCGGGAGATGATGAAGTCGATATATGTATATATATAAGGATGTAGGCGAAAATGCTGACCCCGGGTGTTGAAATTGAAGATTGTAAGGCGAGCTCTGGGGATAATGATTGATTCATCTGACGTTTCACACTCATACTGGGGCGCATCATCGGAGATAGGAAATATGAGAAAATTACACGGTTTAATTAGGTGCCTCTCGCTCGCGCCTGATAGGGCCATCAATTTCTATCCTCAGTGGGCCTCATCTGGTGCGTAAATGGTGTTTGGCGGCCTCGTATAGTGCCGGTACGTCGACGCTGTGGTTGATGAAGTTGGCGTCTGTTTGCCAGGCCTCGATTATTTGTCGCGCCAGTCTGTTTTCTTCTCGGCCGAGCGCTTGGGCGCCGTCAAAGTCAAACCGATGGTCATTTTCCAAACTGTGCATGGCGACGTTTGAGCGTGCGTAGTTCCGCTTGACGGCTAAGATGTGCTCATGCATGCGCCTTTTGAGTCGTTTGCTTGTCATGCCGCAATAGTTGGCCTGGCAGCCTAGACAGTTGACGCGGTAAATGACACCTGACATGTCCTACCCTTTGGCTGCATGACTAATCGGCAGATGGTGGCTTCCGGTCGGTGTCCAACGCCCACGTTAAGTGGTCTTAGCATACACTCAATGACCTCAGAGACGTTCCTCATATAGGGCAAGACACGGAGTACCTCAGGCTTTCGGTTTGCCTCACCGTCAGTCTTTGTTTTTGGAACAGAAATTTGTTAACGAAGCTACGTGGGTATCCATTGGCAAGGAAGAGGTGCCACAGGGACGCACGCTCTTGTAGCTTCTCTTCCTCTGTGCTGCAGTGCGTGTTGCTGCGGCTGAAAAGTGTCCGGGCGCAACTGCGTTTATGCAACAGGGGATGGTTGGGAAGTTTTCCACCTTGTGGCTTGGCTTTTCAGCGACTGATACGTCAGTATCTAAAACTGAAAAGGAAATTGGAGGAATCTCGAAGTTTCTAGAAAACGCTACTGCAATTTTGGCCAAGTATAAAGAAAATTTGGCTTTCAGTTGAGAAACTTCTAAGTATTGCCTGATAGGTTATTCCCCTTTAAGACAGTGGGTCAGTCTTTCCTGGAATATGAAGTGTTTCATATGGCCTTACTGCCTGTTTGCAGCCGCATATCTGGTGAATGCTTTCGTATATTTTTGACTTACAAAGCAGTGCTCATTGGAGGATCACGGTTTCATGTTTTGCTTGATGTCCTCAGAATGATCTCGAAACACTTTGCTTTGGTAAACCAACTTAAATTTGATTAGCCTCATTCGTCTAACCCGTGGTACCACATACGGTTCCATAATCTTGCTTCAGCTCTCTGACGTTAACACAAAAAACTAGATGTATTCCTTGTTAACTTCGAAAATATCACCAACAAATACCTTAGCCTGCGGTCAAACATTCGTAATAGAATTGGCGTCCGGCTGCATATCTGATGTCCATATTTTGAGATCATCTAGTTTCTGGAACAAATTCTCAGCATTGTAATAGACTGTGGAGATTCTGATGGGATACAGGTTCGAAAGAAATTCGAGTCGATATTGCTGGATATTTTTGTGACATATCTAATCCACTGTTTGGGTTCGAATGATTTGTTTTTTTGCTGGGACAGGAAGTTGATGTGTTTAGCCATCTTTTTCACGGAATGGTCCGCCAGAAAAGAGACTCCATTTTCATAATGTGATTACACGCCATTCCCAATGTTGTCAGCTGTACCCTGAGAAATGACCTCCGAGTATTTTCTACTTTGACGTTTATTATTTTCATAATCGTCTCACCTAGGCCAGATGTTCAGGGAAGTTCGGCCTTAAAATATTCCAATTCCTACCGCTGGTCGGTGAAAAATCCCAAAACAAATGGCGATGCGTTTTTGGAGCAGGGGTATCTTTTTCAACAGCAGTTTTGCTTTCTTCTCATTCTCAAGAACAGATTTTAGTAGTCTTGGTTGGCTCGACCATCCTTTGAGTTTTTTTATTTAGCTTATTTCGAAAGCTTTAAGGATAGTGACTTTCCCGCCCTCCCTTAACGGGGTTATGAGATATTGCTGGAAGAATGCTATATCGTAGGGTATTCGGCCCTCCGGCATGCCAAAAGTTGACTAAGCATATCTTTCACGACGATGCGTATAATGTGGT